GAGTTGACAGATGCTTAGCAAAAATTCTCGTTGCTTACTATAATTATTTTTATAATTTTCCATACATTATTAATTTTACACTAATATTGCAAATTTAATTACACTTATTTTCTCGAATTGAGAGATGCTTGGCAAAAATTCTCCTTGCTTTCTATAATTCTTTCATATAAAATTTTTTTATACATTATTATTTCTTCTTTCTATAATTTTCTATATATTATTAATTCCAGGTTAATATTGCAAATTTAACCTGTATTCCAGAATCAAGAGATGCTTAGCAAAAATTCTCGTTGCTTTCTATAATTTTTTAATATAATTTTTTATACCTTATTATTTTTTGATGAAAAAAGCAAATAAACTATACCGCGTATCCAGTTAAATAATGATATATATTTTATCCAGAGTATGTGCACGTGCTATTTAGCGTCCTTTTAAATATACATACAAATGTATAATTGCGACAGACTGCCTAGAACGCGTTGTTTGACCCAAACAGCTGAAACAAAAAACTCAACGCACACAAAATAACGGTCGAGTAGTGACGATGCCTTTGGGCACCAAGGAGAACTATGATCGTTGAATGCCAACATTTTTTTCTTTTTACAATTTTCCATACATTATTAATTCCACGTTATTTATTGCAAATTTAACCTGTATCCCCGAATCGAGAGATGCTTAGGAAAAATTCTCGTTTTCTATAATTTTTGTATATGAAATTTTTTTATACATTATTATTTTTCTTCCTATAATTTTCTGTACATTATTAATTCCACGTTAATATTGCAAATTTTAATTTATTCATTGCCATTATTCACCACCCTACGAGTAAAAATAAATTAATTCTTCTCGACTCTAAACACAAAATCGTGCTGCAACTGATGCAACGATAAAGATTTTTTGCAATCGAACCGAAACCGAAAGGTTTCGCAGGAGAACGACCATATTATAGGGTTTGTACACGAGTTGTTCATCGCAAGCGAAACAAATTATTTCTCCGCCGAGGCGCGCTTATTGCCGACCGGTACGGGTGCAACCGAAAAAGCTTCTGACAGCTGTAACCATTGTGCCGAAGACACCCAAAGACGGAGCATTTTTCTGCAAAGACCGGGTGTAGTGCAATAACACCATAAAAAGCGAGGAGCTCCGGCTCCACCACTATTACGACGTTTTCTTAAAGGGCGACACTCCTCGTAAAAACTTTGCTCTATTTTAAATGACTCCGCAATTGTAAAAATTGCATCGTTGCGAGGCACTTTCTTTCCCTAGCCTCGACGATCCCTTCGTCTTCGCCCACGCAAATCTGACGCAGCTTCCCCAGTGGCGGCTTTTTAAAGCCGTGGGATTTTTACGAACGCCATAAACACTTCATCTTCAATTGTCTAAACGGCCGAACGGCCAAATCTGTGCACAATAGCGAGTTCGTTTCGTTGTGTCGATCACCGTGCAATTTTTTATTTCACTTATTTCATTTATTTCATTCGTTTATTCGTATTTTATTATATATATATAATAGTAATAAAATATATATATATATATTTTATTATATATATATAATAATAATAAAATATATATATATTTTATTATATATAATTTAAAATGAAGCAACTTGTTTTAAAAAATGGGCGGAGCTTTCTCTATTTTTTTCTTTTCAGTCGTTAGAATGGCTTTAGTGAACCGGCGAGACTTACGGGATTAGAAACCTATAAAGATAGTTCACGATATTATTCTTCGCCATATGCAAGGTCTAGCGTTGCTCAAAAATGTTCAATGAACATTGTATTGTCCGCTGATTAGAAGATTTCCCCGTTTAAGCGAACATCGACAAGGATTTACAAGAAAAGATCCCCGGCGTCGACGCTCATTTTCCGCTGAAATTTGAGCCGCCCACGAAGCTCGCAAAGCTAAATCCAATGATACTCGACTTTGTGGCCAGGCGGTTTATAGTTTCTGTGATTAGTAATGCTCAAGTTGCTGATTGGAGGGCAGAAACCCTCCGCAATGGAGCCCGCCCTTCGCGACGAGGCGTTCGACCAAGTAAACAAATTAGGGCTAAATTAAAGCAGCTATTGTCGTGCGAAGTGAAACAATATAGCCATTAGTGATTCCCTTTTTTCATGGTCGGACACCGGATCTACATTGCGACGATGCCGGCGTCGAGGCTTCGCACGGGCAGGTACAATCGACGATAAATCATCGGCAACGAATTCCGTCGGAGACAGGTGTAGGATGCCAATTTCTGCGAGGCAGTGCCGCGCGCGCGGAATTGGATCAGAGATTGCTAATAATTTTTGCAGGACGCGGTCCCGTTCGACGTTTACGACGACACCGAATCCCGTGTTTAAGGTTAATCTTTAATAGAACGCCGCGCCTGAAACGCGCTCTCATTCGGCTTTGATCCGCTGCGAGAGCCGCGCTCGCGCCGGCTTGTTTCCATCCAGCCTGGGGAAGCACTTTTGCAACTTAACATTGCCGGGAAAACTGCGCGTTTCCATCTTCGGTTCTACGCCGGTGCCAATGGTAAGCGTTCTTTTATTAATGAGCCGCGCGCCGCGCCGCGCTTCATTATCTTCGTTCGTTATAAAACGCGAGCTTTGTTTGCCGTTTGTGTTTAGAAAGAAGCGGGAAATAATGGGTTACAAATTGAAAACACGAGATTTGTGTGATCGGTAGGAATTGTATTCTTTTGTTGGCGGCATTAAAGTAAACGTTAGACGTAAATGTTAAGTACTTAGTTTCGTTTTGTGAGATGGTCGACGAGTTTTATAAAATGGTTGTACGATTGGCGATTCTTTTTTGTAAACGAAGAATTCGCACCACGAGGAATTAATTTCAGTTGAATTTTAATGAATTGATAGAAAGAAATTGTATTCTTTTGTTAGCAATACTAAAGTAAATGTTAGACGTAAATGTTAAGTACTTATTTTCGTTTTATGAGATGGTCAACGATTTTTATAGAACGGTGATATGATTAATAATGATTCTTTTTGTAAACGAAAAATTCGTACCACGAGAGATTATTTTCAGTTGAATTTTAATGAATGAATTGATTTAAAAAAATTTATGTTATCTCATTATGAAGACTATAATATAATATATAATATATATACTANTTGTGTTTAGAAAGAAGCGGGAAATAATGGGTTACAAATTGAAAACACGAGATTTGTGTGATCGGTAGGAATTGTATTCTTTTGTTGGCGGCATTAAAGTAAACGTTAGACGTAAATGTTAAGTACTTAGTTTCGTTTTGTGAGATGGTCGACGAGTTTTATAAAATGGTTGTACGATTGGCGATTCTTTTTTGTAAACGAAGAATTCGCACCACGAGGAATTAATTTCAGTTGAATTTTAATGAATTGATAGAAAGAAATTGTATTCTTTTGTTAGCAATACTAAAGTAAATGTTAGACGTAAATGTTAAGTACTTATTTTCGTTTTATGAGATGGTCAACGATTTTTATAGAACGGTGATATGATTAATAATGATTCTTTTTGTAAACGAAAAATTCGTACCACGAGAGATTATTTTCAGTTGAATTTTAATGAATGAATTGATTTAAAAAAATTTATGTTATCTCATTATGAAGACTATAATATAATATATAATATATATACTATAATATAATATATAATATATATACTATAATATAATATATAATATATAATTTATATTGCTTTATATATATATATATATAAAGCAATACAAATTTAATATTCGAACAGGAATAACAAATAAAATAAAGCGCTGTCGCCTTCATTTTCTGCGAATCATTCGAACCGATCGTTCGACTCGAAAAACAGTACTAAAACGAAAGAATAAAATATAAGACATCAGTTCACGTATTTAAATCTGCAATTACCTTAAGGTATTGCAGATTTAAAAATTGTACAGCACCGCGTTGTTCGAAACGTTCGAATGGAAAATTGTCGGTAATCTCTAAAGAGAAAACGTTCAGCAAAAAGTAACGAGGCGATAAAATTCGTCTATCTTTTATAATGAGAGTCTTAGCCCCGCGATGGCGCGGTTATACTTCGGCACGGCTTGTTCGAAATTGAAAACGACGCAAGCAGTTCCCGGTTCGAATTCGAACACGAAATATCCGGGAGAAATATCTCTAGGCGAAGTCCGTCGTCGCTTCGTCGAGGTGCATACCTGGTGGCCAAACGAGACGAAAAACTTCATTTCGTGTAATTTCGACCTCAAACCGAAACTGGAGCAACGGTACCACGCCGGACCATAATTCATGCTACGACATCACTTATCGTTCTGAATCGGGGCCGAACGATCGCCGGGAACGGTATCGATCGTTTTTCTAAGGCTGAAGTCGACGTTTTTCTCGGGCCTCGGGAAAAAGGTGCATTATTTTTCGTGAGTCTTTTA